GCTTTCCCGATTGATACTAACGCGAAACTTTTCCATACATCCCAGTAACTCCCGCTGGGCAGCTTGCCGAGAAATCTTGAATTATTCACTTCCCCGATACTTTGGTCGGAGTGCCCTACGTTTTTGTGTAAAAGAATTTAGCGCGAGAAGGAGATTGTTGACCACTTTGGTATGGAAGCCTGGTGTCTAGAATAAAAGGCAAAATACATCACTTCTAGTATTCTCATCGGATAAAAACGGGTTGCACACTTTCGATTATGTCGACATGAAAGAAATTGCTTGACATTCTTGCAGGAAAAACTTGGGAGTACGACAAGTTGTTCACATCTGAGGTTTGAGAAAGAAATTGGCAGCTTTTCACTAAGCACTGCTTTTGTAAGTAAGTCCCTCATTGATTAGTGACGGAAATTTAGCTCTTGGAGCACATTCAGTGCCTTGATGGGTTGCTTTTTTCCATAAGTGCCTTTATCTCTTATGCACTACAAGTATCTGATCTTGAAAGATAATGCTGGTTCTTGAACAATACAGGGTGAGCAAAAGTCTGAGAGCCTAGTACTTTTTCGCATAAAATCAGAAGGAAAGTACCTAGAAATAAAAAGTTGGGTGACCACTTAAATCAAAGCTTCACAACTACAGCGCAGCTCTCAAATTCTGAGTTTGCTTCGTTTGGTTTCAAAGCAGCCTTTCGAAATCTTGGCGAGTCCGCCTGTCGTGGCACGCAGGCAGTCGTGATGAGGTTCGTCCCACGCCTTCACGATATGTGCTTCTTTCTCTAGGCAAGTGGTAGTATGATAGAGCAAGCTTTTGGCTACAACACATTACGAGGATTTTTTTTGCCATATATAGGAAAAAATTTCACAATTTCAAGCAAAGGCAAGTGCATTCGCATACTGGAGATTTAGATGAGATTGCGCGAACAGGAGCGAAAAATCATGATCTAAATATATTGAAATTGTTACATCAATTGAATTCAAATAGAAGCTTATACAGAAGACTCATGGGAAGAATATAGCTTGAAACTCAGTACCTGCTGCTCTCCTATAGCTTTCAGACTTATCTTGAAGACAATGACCACTGGCACGCAGGTGATATTCGCAAATTTTTTATCTTGCGTTTTCGAAAGAATAGTTTCTGGCAATGCAACCACTACAGTCTGATATCACAAAGCCTCCTCTGAATTATATGCATTAAAGTGTGGTAGGATATTTACTGTAGCTTTAGCTACGAGATAAACTGCAAATACTAGAATTTCTCGCTCTGCAGAAGCACTTGTTTGATAAATCCAATTCTTACAAAAACATATGGCGAGCATTTTCGGCTAGGTAAAATGTGTTTTGGAGAGGATGATTCGCAGCATTCTGTGGCGCAAATTTGAAATCAAAATCACCAGTACTTTCGTGATTTACAACAAGTCGGCTCCCAGATTTTTGCCCCACCCTGTAGTTTTTCAGAACACCCCTTTTTTTCAAACAAATTCTCTTATGCTCTAATGATACGCTAATTCTCTTAGGCTCTAATGATACGCTATCTCTGAGGGCGGCTCGAAATATTAGGTTGTCAAGAAAATAATGTCCGTTTTTATTTGCTTGCTTTAACAAAGCAACCAGACTCAACCCAACAAAGGGTAAGGGGTACTGTTCGATAGAGCAAAACAAGACACGAGATGGCACTCATGTCTTTGCGCCATTCTCGATTTATGGAGGGTTCGAACTCAAAATTTAAAGATTTCCAAATGCACAAAAAATCGAAAAAAATCAGATCTTCGTCCAAATAATTTCTACGGACCTCCCACTCGCTCACATCAATACTATCGATATCTGATACCCATATGTGCGATTGCCGTATTTCTTCCTTGACTAGAAACTGAAAAAACGGAAATTTCCCCGATTTTCTCAAAGCAATGCTGAGCCGTTTTTGCATATGTAGTTCTATACTACAAGCCTAGGTAAGTATAACTGTAGGTTTTCAGCCTATTTCGAGCGGTACTTTTTCGAGAAATGTCGTTTTTAGCACTGAAACTGAAACAAAGAAATCCGAATTCGTTATTTTTCGAAAACTACTGCTTGGAACGGGCTGAAAATCTACAGTTATACTTACCCAGGCTTGTAGCATAGAACTACATATGCAAAAACGGCTCAGCATTGCTTTGAGAAAATCAGGAAAATTTTCGTTTTTTCAGTTTCTAGTTAAGGAAAAAATATGGCAATCGCACATATGGATATCAGACATTGATAGTATTGATGTGAGCGAGTGGGAGGTCCGTAGAAATTATTTAGACGAAGTGATTTTTTTCGATTTTTTGGGCATTTGGAGATCTTCAGATTTTGAGTTCGAACCCTCCATAAATCGAGAATGGCGCAAAGACATGAGTGCCATCTCGTAGAGCTTGCTTTGCTCTATCGAACAGTACCCCTTACCCTTTGTTGGGTTGAGTCTGGTTGCTTTGTTAAAGCAAGCAAAAGAAAACGGACATTATTTTCTTGACAACCTAATATTATTCCGCAGTCAGTCAAAGAATGTCAACTCTTTCCAAAACAAAAACATCTTGTAGTATTCCTTTTTGGACTACTACATCGTAAAAGATAGGTGAATTTTGGTGGCAGGGACGTTTCGAAGAGGGCGCCAAAACCTTTTGTGGAATGGCATGTACAATACCACCTCTCCCCCGCCCTCAACTTCCCTTCTTCTTCCCTCTCATATGAACTTTTGTCAATCACAAACGTTTTGTCAGTAAAGGCCAGTGCACTCCACGCTACAGTTGGAACCGATTATTCGTATTCGAATAACATATGCGAGATATTCGACTATTCAAATTTTCGAACATTTGATAATATACAATTATTCGATCATTCGAATAGTCGAATATTCTAATTTAATTATTCGATTCAAGATTCGTATTTTAGAGTGCGCCCATAGCCCGCTCATAGACAGAAAAAAACCAAATTCTTTGCAGCAAGAAGAACGGCTTGTTCCAGTCTAACGTTTCATTATTTGAAAAAAAAGGCGAGTTTTGTCTTACCAGTGGGAGACATTGCGCTCATTTTACATCAAAAATTCGCTGTATGTGTATCAACCTCCTAACGTTAACGCCTGATCTTTAATATAATGGCAAGATGTTTGTACGTTTCATTCCCTTCCTCAAACTAGCCACAATTTGCAACGGTAACATCATACGAACACATCAAGAGCTTTTGGTGCAGCTTTTTCTTTCCTTTTTTCCTTTGCAGCAGGTATATTGTCAAAATGATGTTTCTGCTTACTCCATGAAAATTTCTGTAGTTCTTCAGCAAGCTCGGGAAAAGCCGTGTCCAGATAGAATGACTAGCGAAATCCTGATAAAGCTAAAGATGTATATACATCTTTCTTCTCTGAGTCATGCAAAAAGATTCAAAAAACGTGCAATGTCTCAATGTATTCTTTTTGTTGCCAACATATGAGTGTTCCTCGTTCCAAAAAGATTTATGTATCGAATGCTAAAAACATATGATATCATGCTACTTCCAGGCTAATAACACGCTTATTTTGAAGGCATGTCATTTTCTTGAAGCATGAAGCCAGATAATATTAAAAATATCAAAATGCTAACATTTTAAGACGCTTAGCTGGCGTCATTTTCATGACGAACCAATGCTGCAAGTGCTACATATAAAGAGGTTGCGCAATAAGTCAGTGCAGCACAATGCACTGGACGAATTTCCTTGCTGTTGCGGTGAGAGTGCTCTTTCACTTTATTTGGCAATAGAATCAAAGTCGTTTTTAGATAATCTCCATAGTCTTTTCCTCAGTGGAAGGTAAGTTTGCCTTCATCAACATCTCATTCCCGTCGCTTCTAGCAGTATTGCGCAAATTTACACAAAGCAGATCTCGATCACCGGTCATCCAAAAAACACCTCAGCTTAATTCTGCACATTTTAACAATGAACTGCAAATATTAAGAGCACATAATTTCTTCCATGTGGCGAAATATTGTTGACTGCTTCAAAAACTGAAAGTTGCCAAGAACTACTGACAAACAAACTGTTTCCAGCGATGTAAGAAGGCCCACAGCGGCAGAAAATGCTGATTAAAAGCCAGCAAAAACCTTTATACAGCCACATATTCTTCGCTTCCCAAGAGCAAATTTAGAAAGTGCAAAATAGAGGCGTGCTCAGCTATGAAAAGGGTAATAAACGTCTTTCAGAATGAAAGTGCTTCGTAATTTTTCTTGCACTAAAATTGGCATTACCCACTCTGTTAGAGATGACAGTTGCATAGTTACATACGATTAAGCTACGCCAAATGTCTGTTGGGTTTGTGGTTTTTCGCCAGTGCAGAACGTAGTTGTTTACGCGACTTTTCAATAGCTTTGTATAATAATTTGTTTGCAAAGCATGTATAAAACTGACAGCGAAAAAAATTCTCTAAGCCGACATTCAAGATTCGGAGCCGATGCTACAGAATGTTAAGGATATTGTGATTAGTGAGAATGAGTGGAGCGAAAAACATAATCCTAGCTATTCCGAGCAATAATCCAGAATGTTGCGCTTGGCATAAATGATGTGGTGGTGTTGCAGGGGCTGCGCAATGTGATGGAGGGACATTAGAAACTCAGGACATTGACCATATTCGCGAGAAAGTTGACGATTTCTGTTGGCTCAAGAAGGAGTGGTGACGGATGTCGATGGAGAACTACTGCCTAGTGAGAAGACCTTGAGCAAGATAGTACGCTCGCATTTTATTTACAGATATCTTTACTAATGCGCGAAACAATTTGATACGTATTTCAGGAGTGGAACTGCGATCTAGAGAAAGCTGCGCTGGCTACTTACCGCGGTGATTGCGATACTTGTAAAAAACCTTTAATAAGTAACTCGTGCGTGAAAATCTCCTTAGTCGTAGCGTTTTTAGTAAGACAAGAAGTTGTAGTCTATCGAAAATGAAAAAAAAAATATTGAGTGGTGCCCTTTTATTACTAACACTTCAATTCCCATCGGCGAATGTGCTCTCTAATCAGCGATATTATGAAAACGATAAACCCGCAGACATTTAGAGGCACATCGCATGGTGGTAGGTCCAAGGATATTGACGACACCTTCGAGTACTGGCGAGGCCTGTTCTCATACTTCCTCGAAGATGGCTACGAAGTCGAATTTTTGAAAAGCTATACATTTGCAGAGGTAAGTCAAAATGTGAGAATTGTGTTGAAAACAGATGTCATCCAGCTAGCTGATGCAAAAACGACCGAAATCGGATGTGCTTATTATGATGTCTGCGATGGAAACGAGGCTTACACTTTCTTCTGCTTCACAAACCAGGCGTAAGGTTTCTAAAAGATTGCACATCTAACGACGGGGGGGGGGATACTTGGTCAAAGGAGCGTTCCTATATGAAATGTATACTGTCCTTAAAAGCATAAAACGCTGTTTTTAAATCTGCTTTCAATATCTGCAAAGCGCTTCTGGGAGGCGAGTTATGGGAATTTTTTTTGATGCAAAAGGGGAAGAAGCGCCACCACAATGAAATCATTCATACCTGTGTCCGTAAATTCAAAAGGGCCATGACTGCTTGCCAAGGGCTTTCAACAAATCCTTCAGGTCAAAGCCTTGAATTTTTACCTCAAAAAGTTACCCCAATTCCCCTCTCAAGAGCGCTTTGCAGATACCAAAAGCAGTTTTGGAATCAGCATTCCGTGCTCCATAAGATAGTACGCACTTCATACAGGGTGTCCCAAAAGTATGAAAACAGTGTTTGATCGTTAATATCTCTCTTTCCAAGAAGTTTTTTGCCTTGCTTCAGGTACCATCTTGTAGAGCTAGTTTCAACTTAGAGTTACAGCATGGAGGGAATTGCCGACCGCTCTTCACTACTGTAGGATTACGGTAGGGACTTTGAACATATGGTGTCAATGTGGAAAGAGCTGCCATTTCAAAAATTTTCAAAAAAATGTGAAATCTTGTGTAATAGGGTTTTTATGGACGCTGAGTTCAATACTTAACTAATCACAAGATTGCGAAGCTTTCTAAACGGTGTAACCGCACTTTTTAGAAACATTAAAAAAATAGCTGCTACCCCTTACCTGGCACAATTCTTCAATGAAGCACCATAATAAGTTGAGAACTTTACAGTTAGAATCAGCAACTCTAATTAGCCTAGTGTAAAATTTTTCAGGCTGTTTTGTTTCTTTTCTGAGGCAAAATATAGTCTTCCATGGCTCAAATCCTTCTTTGAAGTATCTACCGTAATCCTACAGTAATGAAGAGAGATGGGTGATTCGTTCTATACTGCAAATCAAGTTGAAGCCAGCTCCACAAAATGGTGCCTGAAGCAAAGCAAAAGGCTTCTTGGAAAGAGAGATATTAACGACCAAACAGTGTATACACACTTTTGGGACACACTGTATAAGAACGCCACTTTTGATCACAAGTATCCTTCCCTTGTAAGACACGTAGAAGTTTTCATTTTGAGAGTTACTTCGTTTACAAGCGTCATTTCTGAGCTTTGCGATGGAACAGGCGTGCAAGCGATAGTAGAGCATGTATAGTACTGACATGATTACGGAAACACTAGCTGGCAAACCCGGGTCCGCCCGGCCCTGTCAATAATATATTCGTGATCAGCATGCCACTTACCCTCCTGTGCCAGCTCCCAACCCCGCAGCCCAAACTTTTCGAAAAATCAATAAAATCGATATCAATCCATGACGAAGAGTAGCCTATGAACTCATCTCTCCCCGAAGTGTATGTGTGCAAAGTTTGGTCCAGATCGACTCACAAATAAAAATTTCCATTCGGAACATACGTAGAACAGACAGAAATACACACAAACAGACGTTCAGTTTTATATACAGGGTGTCTCAAAAAATGTGCCTATTGTTTGATCGTTAATAACTCTCTTGTAATCTTCGAAGTCTTTCGGGAAGCTTTACATTGTAGAGCCAGCTTCAACTTAGATTTATAACATATAATAAATCATCTATCCTCATCGTAACTGTAGGATTACGGTAGAAACTTCGAAGAGGGTTTCAAAGGCACCGTCCACCCAAAGTGGGGGTTCACGAGATTCGATGGCATACTAATGTGGGCCCCCACACTAGGCCAACCCCGAAGTAGCGCCGCAAAAGTTTCCTTCCGAAGCGAGAAATTCGCTCCGGAAGGGACGTTATCCGGAGCTGGTCACTCCGCCCACCTGGTCACTCCGCCCACCTGGTCACTCCGCCCATTTTGCAGATTTGGCGGGCTGCGGCGCTGATATACGCCGGGCGTATAACGCGCGCAGCCCTGCGACTTGCATTGCGCCATTCTCCAAAACGGTGTTTTTTGGTTATTTTACGGATTTTTGACTACATATTCGGAATCAGGACCTTCAGAAGGTCTAGAAGCGATGAAAACATGGAAGTGGAGAATTTGGACGGTGCCTTTAAGTCATGAAAGGCCATATAGGTCTCAGAAAGGAAACAAACAGCATGAAAACTTTTACTCCGGGTTAATTAGAGTTGCTGATTCTAAATGTGAAGTTCGTTAAATTGTTATGATGCTTCGGTGAGAAGTTATGCGAGGTAAGCAGTAGCGGCTTTTTCAATGTTCCTAAAAGTGCGGTTTTACCGTCTAAAAAACTTCGCGATCTTGCACATAGTCGAGTGTTGAACTCAGCGTCCAAGAAAATTCTATTGCACTAGTCAAATTTTTTAAAAGTTTTCTAAAAGGCAGCTTTCTCCACAAGGACACCATGTAATTTAAGTCTCTACTAATTCTACAGTAATGAAGAGCGATCGATGATTTGATCTATCCTGTAACTGTAGTTGAATCCAGCTATAAGAACGGCACTTCAAACTTCTTGAAAGACTTTATTATAAAAGAGCTATTAGCAATCAATAAGTAGGCACCTTTCTTGGGACACCCTGTATATTATTATAATACTAGCTGGCTTACCCGGCTCCGCCGTATCCGGACCAAACTTGGCACACATACACTTCGGGCCCCGGCGGGTGTCACAGTCCACTTTTCGTTATCGATCGATGTCGATTTTACCGATTTTTATTTTTTTTTGCAGAGTTCACCTATAGGGCTAGGAGTTGGCACAGGGGGGAAAGTGAGCATGGGGATTCCGAATACAATATTAGTTTTCAGAATTATCGATTACTTTTATTGGTTTTATCGATTTTTTGTAAATTTTGACCTGCGAGGCTGGGATTTTGCACAGGGGGTAATCGAGCATGCTGATTACGAACACAATATTAGTTTTCAGGATCGTCCATTACTTTTATCGATTTTATCAATTTTTTTGTAAAGTTTGACCTGCGGGGCTGGGAGTTTGCATAGGGGGTAATCGAGCATGCAGATTACGAATACAATATTAGTTTTCAAGATCGTCCATTACTTTTATCGATTTTATCGATTTTTTGAAAATTTGAGCTAGGGGGCTGGAATTTGGCACAGGGGTGTAATCGAGCATGCTGATCACCCCCCTTGGGGATGATCAGCATGCTCGATTACCCCCCTGTGCCAACTCCCAGCCTCCTAGCTCAAACTTTGCAAAAAAATCGATAAAATCGATAAAAGTAATCGATAATCCCGAAAACCAATATTGTATTTGGAATCCCCATGCTCGATTACCCCCCTATGCGAACTCCCAGCCCCGTAGCTCAAACTTTGCAAAAAAATCGATAAAATCGATAAAAGTAATCGATAATCCTGAAAACCAATATTGTATTCGGAATCCCCATGCTCGATTACCCCCCTATGCGAACTCCCAGCCCCGTAGCTCAAACTTTGCAAAAAAATCGATAAAATCGATAAAGGTAATCGATAATCCTGAAAACCAATATTGTATTCGGAATCCCCATGCTCGATTACCCCCCTGTGCCAACTCCCAGCCCCGTAGGTGAACTCAGCAAAAAAATCGATAAAAATCGATAAAATCGATATCGATCGATGACGAAAAGTAGCCTATGACACCCGCCGGGGCCCGTAGTGTATGTGTGCCAAGTTTGGTCCGGATCGGTTCAGAAATGGAATTTTCTATTCGGAACATACGTACAGACATACATACAGACATACATACAGACATACATACATACATACAAACAGACATTCAGCTTTATATATAAGATAAGACTAGCGATTCTACGGGTAACAAGCGGGTTAGGGCAAAACCATTGGGGGGTTTGTATAAGCCTGCGGTGAGATAGTATGTATAAAATTCGAGAGATAGAAGCAGTTGAACGAACTTGCTGAATATTGGCATTCTTCAAGCAGGGTCACGAAAAATTCTGAAAGTATTGTTGTTGGAAAGAAAAAATTTTGCACATTGCGGTTGCACCTTTCCCATGGTTTAATATAAGACAGTTTGAAAGTTAAGAGCAGTTGAAAAAATTTACTTCAATTTTGCATTTTTGAGCGTGCTCAATAAAGCTGCAAACGTCACTAGGGACCGAAACAGTCATAAATGTTGGTTTTATGACTTCCTCTTTCTAACCACCGAGACCTGTGCCGAGAACGGATCTGATTCTCGTGAAAAATGCAAACACGAAAATCCAGAAAATATACAAAAGTCAGATCTGTTATCGATTGGCACGAATTTTGCTCAGCTAGAAAGAGGAGATAACAAAATCCACGTTTATGACTGTTTTGGTCTCTGCTCTGACTTGAAGCTTTTTTGAGCATGCTCGAAACTGCAAAATTGACGTAATTCTCTTCATTTGCTTCTAACTTTCGAACTATCTCATACTAATCCCTGAAAAAGGTGCCACAATTGTGTGCAAGATTTTCTCTTTTGAACAAAATAATTTCAGAATTTTTCGTGGTTGCTCTGCTTAAAAATGCCAATTTTGAGTAATTTCGTTCAATTATTGACTTGTTTAAACCTTGAATAGTTAAAATTCCGATTTCCAAAATTTCGTATTAGCATGGTAAAAATTTTGGGAACGTTGCTGGCATTTTCTAGAAATTCGAGGTCTTGGGCCCATAAAAAGTTTGGGAAAGCATCCCAAAATCCATCCAAAAATTTCTCGGAGTGCTTAGCTAACGCCACGCACCTTTGATTGAGTTGGGACCGCCGCTAATATCCTGAAAACCTCCTTTGTAAGATGTTGAAAGGAGTCCTGGTCACAACAAATTCTTAGAAAAGAGGCAACACTGTTTGGACTTAAAGCTGAGAAGCTAGAGTTCGCATACAAGTTTAAGTAAGCATGCTGCTGGGGCATGTTGTAAAGGGATAGGCTAGCACTAATTACATTGACAATTACGCCTATTGAATTGATGATTTTGCGAACTTTGATCCAGTGTAGGTGTTAACGCACATAGGCGTGAATGAGCATTTCTTT